ACCAGAAAGTTTGAACAATTTGCCATTACAAGAGTAATGGAAAATGATGACTTTTCATTTTGAAATATAATCCAACTAGGGGTGTCTTTGAAATAATAAAGTACTTTAGTAGCAGTGTATTGGTACTAAGTATTCCAGGCTTAATCACTATCAGTCATGAAGTTATCCTTAACTAAAATATTTCAGTCATTAATGTTTAAAAAATGGCTAAAAATGCTCAGGGCAGAGCAAAAGGGAAGGGGGTACCACCAGCTTCTTGCTTCTTATTCATATCACTGACAGAAGTGAAGTCAAAAAAATTCCTTCTCCTTCCATAGACCTCTGCATTGCGGTGATATAAGTACCTCAAGACACATGACCAGCACATTCTGAACCAAATTCAGTAACATAGCCTCTAGACATATGTAGCTATTGAGCACATGAAATGTAGTTAGTGATGTCAGTGAAGAGAAAATAGACAGACACTAGATTTAGAAGACTTGGTACCCCAAAAAAGTATTTCACTAATGATTTTTTATATTGGCTATATATTAAAGTGATAAAATATTGGAAGTGTTGGCTTAAATATTATACCTATTTCTTCTTAGTTTTTTAGTTTATATTTTAAATTATATATGTGGCTTACAACATATTTCTATTGGACTGTGCTAAGCTATAATTTCTATATGGTATTAAGTAAAAATAAACCACAGCGGAGACAAGTTTTCTCCTCCAGGAAGTCTTAGCTGGAGATGAGCACAGCTACACAATCCTTGCATCACTAAGAAGCTGAGGGTTGGAAAGCTGCACTTTTCTGTGTTTGAGAAACCAGGAAATCAGTGACCAGAAGGCAATGAAATGCACTATCTGGGTTGGAAACTACTAGGGCTAGAGGGGTGGGAGAAGGAGGAAATAGGCTCAAAGACTTGTAGAAATAGGTCTTATTCATATAGATGTAATAATGATAATTACTGGGAAGATTGTGTGAACTCAAATGTTGAAAATAAAGTGAGAGGTTACTCCAGGATGTATCTACAAACAGGCCATAAGCATATTTCCATTTAAACCACATAAAACAGTGAAGTTCCTCTGTGGTTGAGAATTAGCTTACTTTACATCTATGTCAGTGCCCTTTTTTGTATTCCTTCCTATATCATCACAGAGATAGAAAGCTGAGAAGGACACTTCCCAAACTCCATGTCAACTTGGGTCCAGATATGATTTTTGGTACTATGAATCAGATAAATAAATATAAGCTTGAATTTGGAACTGAGTAAGTAGAAACATAGCAGGATAGGAGCATTCATGTTGTGAGACTGGTTCTAAGCTGATAGCTGGAAAGAGCATCATTTGCACAGCCAACTCTCGGATGGAGGCAAGAGCAGCAGCTACTTGGCAATCCATTTTTTCCATGACTTGGGAATCACTGTCAGAAGCTCAGTTTTATCTCTGTCTCTTCAGCTATATCTACATAAAAATGCTACCTATCTCATGAGTTTGTTGTAAGGAGTAGTAAGCTAATACATAAAATAGCTTAGCACAATGATTGACACCTGGAAATCATTATTTGTTATTATTAGAATTTTAATGTCAGTTATTAGGATTTGAATTAAGGGTTGATAATGAAGGGGATTTGCATATCAGATATATAAAATTGGTCAGAGGTAAAACTGGTTACTTTTTAAAAAAAAATTATTTGTTTTAATTAGTTATACATGACTATAGAATGCATTTACTGGTTACGTTTTATTTTCATGAAGACCTAAGAAAAATTCTTTTACCTGGAGTTAACATGTTGAAGAGAAGTTGGGAAACCAATTTCTTCCATAAATCCTAGAGAGGTGGTAACTGTAGCAGGAAAAAGTAGGATAAACTGGAAAAGAGGAACTCGTCACATAGCAATATTCCTGGAAGCTAATTGACTGGAACTGTTCAGGAAAATGTGTGCAGATGGAGGGGCCATAAATAGAATTATCTCATTAAAAAATAACAACATAGAAAGCAAAACAAACAAAGACTCTTTTTATGTTTTGTTCTAATAGTAGTGGAAAATGTTAAATGAAGGTTGAACTAAGTTATTTTCTAAGGCTTTGTTGCCTGAATTATTTCCAGAGGACACCATCAATTCTTTAAATGACCATTGAACCATGTATGTGCCAGGAACTGGGATGGGTACTGGAAATAAAATGTTAGAAAACAAATCAGTGGCCTATAGTTTTAGTTTTTTAGGGTTGAACGGAATTGAAATGAGAAAAGTAGAGTTTGAGGGGAAATTAGTAAACCTTGAGCGTCAGTTCTCAGTATGGGTAGGAGACAAAGAAATGTGGTTCCATAAATTTGTATTCCCTCATTTTGTGCTTTACTTCAACCCTGTCCCTTTCCTTCTCTCCCTCCCTCCCTCCCCCCCCCTCCCTCTCTCTCTCTCTCTCTCTCAGAGAGAACTAATAATCAATCTGGAAGCAATTGTATGGGGTGCTTGGCAAAAGTTAAGAGTAGCAACTTCAATTTTTAAAATGATATCAAATTTACATAAAAGTTCCAAGTATTGCACCAAAAATTGTTTCAGAATAATTCAAGAATAAGTTGGCATCATGATGCATCATCATACTCAAATACAATAAAGTGTACTTCCTATAAACAAGGGCATTCTACACAACCACGGTATAACCATTAAACCAAGAAATCAACATTGATCAATTACCACTAACGAATCCTCAGATCCCATTCACCAGTTGACCCAATAACTGATTACTGGTTAATTATTTCATTGTATTATCCCTATAATTTTGTTTATTTTCATGTTTACTCATTTTAAGATTAAAATTATAAGTTAGGTGTGGTGGCATATATCTGTTATCCCAGCAATAGGGGAGGCTGAAACAGGAGGAACAAGTTCAATGCCAGCCTCTGCAACTTTAGTGAGGCCCTGTCTCAAAAAAAAGAGATAGGGGTGGTGGTGCTTGGGATGTAGTACCCCTGGGTTCAATCCTGGGTGCAAAAAAAAAAAAAAAAAAATCCAGATGTAGGACTCTGTTCTTTGCATCCTATCAGGTAACACTAAATCTCTATTCACAACATTACTACTAATAGTCATTTTGATCACTTGATCACATGACAAAGCCAAACTTCATGCTTTGTCTCCCTGTAACTAATAAGAAGTTGTTGAAGGCTACCTTTAAATTATGCAAATATCCCTTTACTAATCAAATTTTCAATTTATTATGTATTAAAATAAGTATGAATTCATGGTTTCTGAGTTTATTGAATGATATAACCCATATCAGTATTACTTATTTTGATGCTCAAATTGTCTCACATTTGGTCAGTGGGACTGACTTCTGTATCCATTTGACATGTCCACATGATCATCTTTACCAAAGGCTGTTCTGGACTCGCTGTGCTTTCCCTGCCCAGCCTTGGAATCAACCATATCACCAAGAAGTCCTCATTCCTTTTAGTTGAAAGTAAGAGTACTGTCAACGGTCACCTTCACTAAGTCACACCCTGCCCGGGGCAGCCCAACTAAGGCAGCCCGATAAAAGTTTCTCTTAGAACATGCCTCCTAAAAAACCCAAAATACAACTGGTGCTAAGATCCAGTCACTGGTTATATTCATGGATATTGTGGTATAGTTGCTCTCAGGTCTTCTGGCAGGCTGAGCTATTGAATGTGTGGATGTGCAGAAGCACACTCATATATCTGTGGAGGGCTTAAAAAGGCTCCTGTAAAGTTACACACACTTTAATTCTTGATTTAGAAAAAGGAGGTGGGGGTAGCCTTCATAGATGTGTTAAGGATTTTGAGATTGGAAGATTATCTTGGACTCTTCAGATTGGCCCAATGCCATCATGAGGTCCTTATAAAGGAAAAGAAGAAGGAGAATTGAAATCAGAGGAAATGCAACAAGGAAAACAGAGGTCAGAGTTAGGAAAAGGTCATGAACAAAGGAATGGCTGTAGCTTCTAGGAGAAGGAAGACTCATAGGAATGCATTTCTTCCTGGCATGTGCATTGTTGATACCTGAGTTTTAGTCCAGTAAAACTGGATTTGGACATCTGATCTGTAGATCTGTGAGAAAAAAAAAATCCATTGTTTTTAGCCACCAAATTTGTAGTAAATGGTTACAGCAGCATTAGCAAATGAATTCAACATCCATCACCACATGAAAGCCTTCCTCACCCAGCTTGGATTCTAAAGCCCCACATTAGGCAGCCATCCTCCTCAACCCAGTGAGAATACACTCTTCAATTTCCAGGCCCCAATGTTCTGTGGCACAAAGTTCTCCTAGAGGTCATTCTCTTCACTCCTCCCAGACTGAGATCTCATACAGGGCCATACTCTGTATGGATGCTCCCCTTGCTCCATCTCGGTTCCCACTCACTGTACCCTGTACTGCACTGCCCTTCTTATGCTGCAGTAGCTCATTCCAGTTCACCCCTCCATGGGTACGTCCTTCTCCCATTGTTTGAAACCGAGGAAACATCATCTCATTCTATGATAAAAATCCAGACATTTGTTCTCTGTTAACCACAGTCTCAGACGTGGACATCTTAGAAACTGGAGAAAGCCTTTGTGTTCAAAGGTGGTAGTTCCTTCTTCTGTCTTTTGCCAAAAAGGCTACCAATCAGGATTGCTCTCACTGACTGAGGAAGGAAATTTAGGGAATCTCCTGAGGGGAAAATGAATAACTTCAAAGGAAAGATCTAGAGATACTGATATTTGGAGACACTCTCTCACCAAAATCTAGTGTACTGTTTCTAGGTAAACATGCACCACCTAGGCACACGGTTGTTAATTTAGGTCTCCATGCTTAGTATCTAAATGAATGGACAGCAGATATCACCAGACTATTTAGGGAAACCTGCAAGATGAAAGATTTTTTTTTAAACAAAAAAGAAAGAAAAAACAGAAAAACTGGAAATAATGAAGGGAACAACAAATAAATTGAAAAATATATCAATTATATTTTCAGAGAAATAAAAGAAAATTAGAATTTATAAAACATAAGCAGATAACAAGAAAGAACCCATAAAGTAAAATGGATTGAATTTTTAAGTTCAGTAGAAGAAGTGAAAGATAAAGTTGGAATTTCTTCCACAAACTAGGATAACCAGACAAAAGAAACCTACGATAGGGGAAAAGAGAAGAAAATTCCAGGTTGTATAACATCTAATTTATAAGAATTACAAAAACAAAAATTATCAAGGATTCAATTTCAATTTGACCACAGGTAATGAATGATGTAATTCTCCAAAAGACCCCCAGAGTGCCCAACACACACACACACACACAAACACACACACACACACACACACACACACACACACACACACACACCAATATACATCATGGTAAAATTTTCAAATACAAGAGATAAGCAGAGGACTCAAAGTTTCAGAGAGAATAATGAGGTTGCATACAAAGGAACAGGTATTAAAACAGTTGTCAGTCAGCAGACTTTCCAGGGCAAGTCTCTTCTGTGGGAATTCAGCAATCCAGGATTATTTCTGATCTTCTCAATATAAGGTTTCCTACACAAGAAAAGAAATTGGTTTGGCTTATGACAGACAGCCCAGTGGCCAAAACTAATCAATGACCCTATACAACTGCAAGGAGGCCATGAAATGTCACTCTCCATTTGTTCAGGGTGAAAAGAAAACCAATTATGAAGGGGAACTAGAAGTGTCTTCTACATTTTTCTTTGGAAACACTGTTGGAAGTACTCAACCAGAAAAATAAGGGATTCGACCAAAACAAATAAACATGAGATTCAGAAAATAAGGATTCCACATCATTAAACTGGAAAGCAATCAGTCCAGATTAAAGTAGGAGGATCCAAGAGTCCAGAAAAAAAAATTAAAAAAAAAGAGTTTATAGACTATTTAATATGTGCAAGGATTTAGAGAAAAAGATCATTGCCAGGCATAATGGACAATATTAGAACAGGTACTTAGAAAACAATGCAAATAAAAACACAGTAGTTGGAAAAATGAAACTAATGTAGGAGGGGCTGGGGTTGTGGCTCAGTGGTAAAGTAATTGTTTGGCACATGTGAGGCACTTGGTTTGATCCTCAGCACCATATTAAAATAAGTAAATAAAATAAAGGTATGTGTCCATCTATCACTAAACATATTTTTTTAAAAAAGAAAATTGCATAGAAAACTTTAATTATATTGAACACCTAGCTTAGCAATAACATAATTCACTGAGTCATAACAATGCAAACTACCTCTTACTTTAAACAAAAGTTGTTATATAACTATATTGGAATAGAAATGAGAAGAAAGGAGCTGTAAGAATGTGCATTGTTTTCAAATCCATAGGTTCCACATTCACAGACTAAACCAACTGTGCATGGAAAATATTTGGTAAATCTGTTGTGTTGGTACTGAACATGTACAGACTTTTTTCTTTTCATTATTCCTTAATAAAATATTACTATGTACATATCTTTGTATTGTATTAGGTATTGTTGAGTAATCTAGAGATGATTTAAAGCATACAGGAGGGTGAGCATAAGTTATATCCAAGTACTATGCCATTTTACAGAAGGGACTTGAACATCCATGGATTTTAGCATCCTACAGGATTCCTGGAACCACTCTCCAACAGATACCAAGGAAAGACTACACTCACTGGTCAGTACCAAGAATTCAGTTATGTAATGTCTTAAATTGATAATTCAAGATATAAAACAGTCTTTATCACATACATTCCCTCAATTACCACTACTCTCTCCTTTCCAAAGTTTCTGTCTGCACCTCAGATTGAAAGGCCACCACACTCTTTCCATTTTTGCCAAGCTTCCCAATTGGCTGGACCTAAGATAAAATTCAGAGCCTGTATGATCCACACATTCTACCTCTGAATCTATCTGCCAGATCACCCCTTTATTCCTGGACCTTAATATAGTGCAATACCACAGAGTGTGCTGGTCCCTCCTGTGGGACCACCAGGGGGCTGGATGACTTGATTCTGAAGTATAGGAGAGTTGGTGTGAACCCTGACCTAGAGCAAATGGAGACAAAAGGAACCCAAACCTGTTAGTTCTTAGGTTCCCCCATACATGCAGTGCTGAGCATGGGGTGATGCATCACAGCCCACTGCAGAAGTCCACATGCTAAAGTGGTTGCTCAGCATCTGCCATGGTAAGACATTGCATGGCGTTGCTTCTTGGTATGGGTTGTCTCTCTTCTCTTTTTCCACACCTTCACCTTCCTGGGCTTTTACCCTTCAAATAAAGTACCAAAACATTAATGCTTAGTGGATCTGTTTTTAAGGATCTAAGCTAAAACAGCATATTATTTTAAAATACAGAAAGTTGCACACTTGAAGGAGTGGTTCCCTCTGGAGAATGAGACTAGGGTATATGATGATGAGAAAGAAGATTATTAGTTTCCAAAATAAGCCTTCTAATTTTTATAATTGTCATGGATTACTTTTAAAAAATTAAAATTAATTTAAAAAGTTAATATATGGTAACTTCTATCATATATATTTAGATATCATATATACCTTTCATGTTTTCTCCACACAACAGAGAAACTAGCTAATAATTATTTTACTAATATTATAAGAATGTTGTGACATAAACCTCAGCATTCATACACATTTTATAGAATTTTTTTCTTTAAAAAATCCCTTTTATGAAAAGTGAAGGAAGATGTCAACCGTAAGATCAATATCTCCTTGTATCCTGCATAAAGTGCTATATTCCTGAAATGGCAGCAAGTGCTTTATAGCAGAATAGCAATAAGTTGATCTATAGACTCATCTTAATGAATTATAGAAGAAAGAGAACCAGCTAAAAAAAGAAACCATTTTATTTTTACATTGAGTGTCTTTTGAAAAATGGAACTGAGGGTGGAATTAATGATTTAATTAAACCACTTAATGTTTTATTAAAGTCAATATGGCCCAGAGTTCCTGTACAACAATCAACTTATCAATAAAACCTCATACTTGTTTTTGCCAAAGAATTCATATTTATTATTAGAAGTGCCTATAATATCGAGCCTCTGTTTTCAGGAAATCATATATACTTTTGTATTCTAAAACCTTTCTGTTAGAGGAACACAACCTTCTGCTGGAAAGAAAAATTCAGGTCAGATTCTGAAACAATGATTTATTCACATTGGTCACTACTCTCCATGAGGTGCTCTGTTCCTGCTCTGTTCAGCAGAATATCTGCTCTGCTTTTACAGCAAAGAAGGAACTCAAAGTCACCAGGCAGCAGGCACTTGAAGTTGATGCCTTCTACAGGAGGCATTGTAACACCCAAAATATTTTCCTCACTAAAACATGTTAGTTTCTTCCCTTTCTTTAGAGTATATTTTTTTCCTCACTCCTAATGTCCACAATTCTGCATCCAACATAAATTTATTATTCACTGTAAGTAAATGGGCAGTTAAGGAAAAAGGAAAGTAGATAAAGAGAGGCCTCAAAGATAATTTACAAACACTAACCTATTTTCATGTGAAACACTGGGATTAGATGGGAATAGCCCTGGTGTTATGGATTGAATATGTACTTGTTCCTTTCCACTTATATGCAAGAAAGTTCAAAGGTGAAATGATTGGGTTGAGAGCCTTAACCTAATCAATGGATTAACCCACTGCTATTGATTAATTGGGTGGTAAGTAGAAAGGTAGGGTGTGGCTGGACAATGAAGCAGGTCACTAGAGGCTTGCCCTTGGGGTGTATATTTTGTCCCTGGTGAGCAGAGCGTGCTTGCTCTTGTGCGCTCGCTCGCTCTCTCGTTCTCTCTCTCTCTCTCTCTCTCTCTCTCTCTCTCTCTCTCTCCTTTCTGATTGTCATGTCCTGAACTGCTTTTTTCTTCTCCACCCTTCTGCCATGATGTTATGACTCATTTTGGTCCCAGAGCAATGGAATCGGCCATCCATGAACTGAGACCGTGGAAGCCATGATCCCCAGATAACTTTCTCCTCCTCTATGTTGTTCTTGTTAGGTCTTTTGGTCACAGGAATGCAAAGCTGACTAAAATACCTGGTAAAGACAAGAAAAGCATAGAAATGTAAAATTAAAGAATACAAAAAGATCCAATATATACTTGTTCCTTTCCACTTATATGGCTTATGTGGCCTTACTTACATGGTGTCATTTGTAAGATTTAGAACAGTGTGAGACAATAAACCCACAATCAGTTACAGGGGCTGGGTCTCATGTCCTCGCCAGACCTATTAATATTTTTGCTTTGGTCTATGTATTGCTGGAGGGGAACTTTCCAGACAAAAGCTGCCTTTTAACCAGAAAGGATCTGTCCTGTACTGCTGATGTCTATGTTCATAGATCAAAGCCTCTGTTGGCAGGTCATGTTCCCACACTCTCTTAGAGCTAGTGTCGTCTTTGGCCATTGATTTAACAGAAAACACAGACACACATAAGAATGTTTTAGTCAAATTTATAATACATGCTTCAGGTCAACCCAATGTTATAGATCCATTTTCTCCACAATGTAGCCTAATAGATTTTTATGATTTTTTTTGGTTAAAATTAGAAATTTTGAAAGTCATAAGTTTCAACTTGTTTTATAAGACACTGACAAACGGGCTTGGCTCACTTTATAATGTAATTGACTTTCTTTGAAAGAGTACATACGAATGTTTTTAATCATCCCACATTACTTTCTTTGCTTATATTCTCTCCATTCAGTCTTCTATACCATTTGTCCTGTTTTATTTTCTCTCACCTTAATTCTCTGTTCCAAGTGTTTCCATATCCTTATTCTTTCTCTGATCACTGAAATATGGATTAGATTTGTTTTCTCATTCTTTTCTTTGCCTGTTTTCTTCTAAGGGATACCTGGTAGAGAAACTGATCAGTAGTTGTCATAATAATATTTTAGTACAGTGAACATTGAGATATGTACATTCTTGCACATATGCATACATGTAGTTCATCTAGTGATCTTTTCCCCTGGAATATGTAATTTTAAATAAAACTTCACAAGCAATTTTTAGTTGCACTTTTTAAGGAAGGAAGGGAGGGAGGGAGAGTGAAGTGGAAGGGAAAAGGAAAGACCAGAGTTTTCTTTTATGCACCAACCTCATTTCTCAATTCTCTTTATTCTCAACCCACACAGGCAACTCCCCCATACCAGGCAAACAGTATCATAATATACATAATTTTTTTCCAAAATTTTCATACTTATATATGTATCCAAAAATAACACACTGTACATGTCCTTCTGCTACTTGTTTTCTTATTCAATATTAAGTTTCGAAATTATGTTCCTGATGACTTATATAGATCTGAGGCACTGTAAATCATACTTTTGTCAAAAATATCTCATTACTTGTTAAAGAAGTAAAACTCTTTGATAAGTATGTAGGGAAAAGTTCACTACCCTAATACACAATAAACGCCTTCATAAATATTTTCACCATCACTGAAAAATGGAATTTACCTTAACAAATTAATAGACAACTTTACAGTAAATTCTAGATTTAAAATCATAATGAAAAGCTTTCTTTCTCTTAGACTTAAATAATTTTATACTTGCAAAAGCATTTCTCCAGCTGGCTAAATTAAGGCACTATGAAAGTTCAATCCAAGAATACTCCTTGGCTTTGAATCCATTGCTTTTCCTTGGGATGGGAATCAGATACATTTTTTTCCTAAAAGCTCTTGCCAATGTGTATTTTATTCTAAAATAATTAAATAAATGTCAATAGGCGGGTCAGCTCCCTTAATAAGATTTCCTTCACTCAGGTGTCCTATTCTGAGTGAAGTTTAATATATGGAGATATACTTACTCTTCTTGACACATTTCCAGAAAATATGCAAGTAAGGCTTATATTCTTCTAAAGCCTTTTACTCAACTGATGTTTAATAGGTAACAGAAAAGGGGAGATGTTTTGATGAAGTTCTTACTTTTCATCCTTCACCCCTATCTATCACTGATTGTTCCAGGAATTGTTTTCAGAGAGTATACACTTGGATTTCTATTTGTTTTGGTTTTAAAAATGCTCTTCATGGATCCCACCGTTCCACCTGGGGATGTTAATGAAAGTTTCCAGGAAAGGCTCACATGTCAGAGCAAGGACAACAAAAGTGTATTAGAAGGTTGGGGGGGGTGGTCTCCACATACCATCTGGGCCTCAGGTTCAGCTCCCTGCATTCACCCAGCTTTTGCTAACCAATACTTCTTTATGCTGTTGTTTCTAGGACTTCTCACCTGTCACACCCAGTTGGTTTCTTCTCTTTCCTCCCACTTGCCCAAACCATTATGCTCTCAGCCACAAAACAAGCTATTTTGTCCGTAAATGCAAATAAGTTTGCTGTAATGGTATCACTTTAGGTACTGTAAAATCTGTCCTGTACAACCCAATGAAAAGTTATGCTGACTTTAGCAATCAAAAGGATCAAAATTAACATTTTCAGATGAGGAAGGGGAAAAAAGCAGCACAGTGAATAGAAGAACAAACTCACCAACTATTGAAAAGTGTACCATTTCTATATAGTTAGACAGTCTAGTTGGTCTGCTTTCCCCCAAAGTTTTCCTGCTCTTTTGCCATCTGATCCTCACTTCAAAATAGTTCTCTCTATCCTTCTACAACATGAACTTGAATGACCTAAAGGTCAATGCCTTCAGGTGTTATAAGAAGAATTGAGGATCAAGCAAGCAGCTAAAAACCAGCTCACTCCAGATACTCTGGGGGAATTTAGCAATGGAAACAAAGAAATATGACCTTTTTGTTTTGGGACATCACTTGTTCTGTGTTTTTTCTCCAGTTCAGCCAGGAATTTGTTGGTGAAAACAGGTGACAACTGAGATAATAACCAGACAGATTCACCTTAAGCCCTCAGATGACTCATCTCATATAGCATTTCTTAATTATTTGCATATATGCTATTCTTCTGCAAAAATTGTTGTTTAATCTTACTTTCCTTTAATTTTCTTCCAGAGAAAATTCCCAAGCCACTAAGTGGCTCATACTGAGAGAATACAAACTTATTTTAATATCAGCCTAAGTAAAACACGCTATAGAATATGTGTGTAGGCTAGAATTGTAGGTTGTATTCTCTAGTTAAACTTACATAATTTAGATTCTTGAATCTTATTTTCAATCATCTGTACTCTATTACTCTCTGTGTGGGTAGCTAATCAGATCTTATAGCTCATGCTCAGTTTTTGGAATGAATGTTTTTAGTGTCAAGAATGAAAACAGATGTCTTTTTTAAAATATATTTTTAATCGTAAAGGGACACAATATCTTTATTTTATTTATTTATTTTTATGTGGTGCTGAGGATCAAACCCAGTGCTCACACATGTGAGGCAAGTGCTCCACCACTGAGCCACAACCCCAGCCCTGAAAACAGATGTCTTTATGTAGGGTCTTGCTCCATGTAATCCTGCCTCTGTGCCTAAAAGAGTAAATTGAGGTAAATTTTTGATGTTTGAATAATACAGCCTTACATCTGGCAAGAACACCTTTTAAACACAAAACCTCACCCATCCCCCACATACCCTCCAGCAAATTTGGCAGCTATTCCTCAGTACTTTCTCTGGAGAGCTCATGTACTTCTAACTTTTACTGTCATTGCCCTCATCCAGACACTCATGGTTTCAGTTTCAGTTAGATTAGGAGGACTCCTGCATCTTAGCCCAATCTCTGACTGCTGAGAAATCTGCCATATAAAATGTTAACTTTTTCTTCTTTTAAGGAATGAACTCCATGCAATGAACTTTCCTCTTAGAACTGCTTTCATAGTGTCCCAGAGATTTCGATACGTTGTATTTGTGTTCTCATTCACCTCTAAATTTTTTTTAATCTCCTCCTTGTTGTCTTCTGCAATCCATTGTTCATTCAGTAGCATATTATTTAGTCTCCAGGTGTTGGAGTAGCTTTTATTTATTATTTTATCATTGACTTTTAATTTCATACCATTATGATTTGATAGAATGCAGGGTAGTATCTCTAGTTTTTTATATTTGCTAAGAGTTGCTTTGTGGCATAATATATGGTCTATTTTAGAGAAGGATCTATGTGCTGCTGAGAAGAAAGTGTATTCTCTCATTGAAGGATGAAATATTCTATATGTGCCATATGTACACAATGGCATATTACTCAGCATTGAAAGAGAATGAAATCATGGTGTTTGCAGGTAAATGGATGGGTTAGAGAAGATAATGCTAAGTGAAGTTAGCCAATCCCAAAACACAAATGGCGAATGTTTTCTCTGATATAAGGAGATTGGTTCATAGTGGGATAGGGAGCAGAAGCATGGAAGGAAAAGTTAAACCCTAGATACAGCAGAAGGGGGTGGGAAAGGAAGGGAGGAGGTATGGGGTTAGAAATTATGAGGAATGTGATAGACATTATTATCCAAAGTACATGTATGAAAACATGAATTGTTATGAATATATTTTTATACAGAGATATGAAAAATTGTGCTCTACATGTGTAATAACAATTGTAATGATTATGCTATCATATATAAGTTTTAAAATGCCACTTGAAGGACTGAGGGTGTAGGTTAGTGGAAGAGTGCTTGCCTAGCATGCACAACACCCTGAATGCAATCTTCAATACCACAAGAAAAAAAAAAAGTTAAAAATTAAACATAGGCATATTAATTAATTAATTAATTTTTAAAAGTCACTTCATCTTGTCAGAGACTTTTCCTGAGGCTTCTGCTCCCCAGCAGTGGTAGGCAGCATAATAATTCCCAAAGATGTCCATGCGAGATATCCGTGACATGTTCTACCATGTGACAAAAGAGACTTTATATACATAAATAAGGCTACAGATATTAAAATAGAGAGCTCATCCTAAAATATTTTGGTAGGCCCAATCTAGTCACATGAGCCCATAAAAACCAAGAATGTTCCCTACCTGAAAGCAGAAGAAATATAGGAGAAGGGAGAGCACTTGACTCACCATTTCTGGTTTGGAAATGGAAGGCAAGGTGACAAAAAGAAATATTGGTGGGCCTGAGGGGACTGATCAATACACAGTGGACAGCTAGCAAGGAAACAGGCCTCAGACCTATGATCACAGGAACCAAATTCTTCCAACAACCCAAATGAGTTTAGGAGCACATTTATCCCCAAACTGTCCAACTAGGAGACCAACCAAGCCTAACATCACAGAGACCACCTGATTCCAGGCTTTATGAGACCCAAAGCAGAGGTGCCGGACTGAGCCACAGAATTATAAAATAACAATAGGGAAGAGGGGTGGGAGGGAAAGGGAGGGAGAAAGGGAATTGCATGGATGGTGGAAGGAGACCCTCATTGTTATACAAAGTACACACGTATTAAGATGTGAGAAAAAAAAAGAAAAGAAAGAAGAGTGCTACCTTAGATTAGGTAGAGAGAAGTGATGGGAGGGGAGGGGAGAAGTTTGGGAGATAGGAAGGATAGTAGAATGAAACAGACATTATTATTAGTGTGTATGTGTGTATATATGTGAATGCATGACCAATTTGATTCTGCAACCTGTATACTCAGAAAAATGAGATACTGTATCCCATGTGATTCAAATGTATGATATGTCAAGGTCATTGTACTGTCATATGTAACTAATTATAACAAATTAAAAAATCTAAAAAATTTAAAAAACACAATTTTATGTGCTGTTTTAATCTATGAAAGGGTGGGGTAATTTATTAAGACAGCAATAGAAAACTACTGTATCAGCTAATCAATCCAAACTCTCCTATTCTCCAAGGACAATCAGAGTCTAGACCAACAACACGAATCCCACTAATCTCCCTTTTCTTACAAACATAGGCTTTTGATTTCTGTCAAGATAGGTTCAGCTTTGTACACAGATCGGACATTCTTTGGAGAAAAGAATGAATAGAGAAAAAAAAAAGTTAGTAGTATAGATACAGAGGTACTTTCCAAGTCCTTCTCTTCAAGAAAGAACTTGCTGTCCAGATGCAGGGAGTATGGTCAGCAAAGAGCTCCAGCTGTCCACTCTCTCAAGATCCATGTGAGCTGCAGAGCTCCACTTGAGCCACCTTTCTCAAGGTCAAGCCCCTCCCACAGAAGTTGGCTTCTGGCCACTGAAAGGGAAAGAGAATAGAGACCCAGCATTTTTGGCCCAAGGCCACACACTGACAGGCACTATTTGCTTCAGGGCTCCTCAAAGAGTTGGCTGAGGTTTTGTCAGGCCTATATTACAAGTTTGACTTCTTCCTCTGCCCAGTTCTACTTCCTTCTTTCTTTCGTAGGTTAATTCCTAATGCGACTTGGACTTCAAACTCCATCACAGCATCTGCTTCTGAAAAACTCACCCTGTGGCAGAGTAATAAATATGAATAAGAAAACATGGCAGGTAGAAGAGACAGTGTCTGGGGTGGAACACAGAAAAATGAACATGAAATTCTCATGCTACAGAGATGCAAAAAAAGCCACATTAAGTTATTTTAAAAAATAACTTTAAAATTATGGCTAAGCTTGTATTAAATTAAAGAAATAACCACCAAAAGCAAGAAAAATTATAAAATTTGAAAACCAAAATACTAAGCTGACATGGGATGAGAGGGATAAGGAAAGTAACTGGACCTGGACATAGGACTTAATGGCTAGGAGCTTTAATGCACACACAGAGATAGGAGAAAAGAAACAGACAGAGCTTGGTCCTGGGACTTTACATAAACCTAGGACTCTAAAGCAGCTGCATCCTCAGTAGAAGAAAGATTGGAAAAGCTCAAGCCATTTTCCAATGAAAACTACAACAAAACTTTGGTTCTATCATAAATAGGAAAATAAATATCCCATATACCCCAGATTGTCCCACACAGGAGTTTCAAGTTCTACTTTTATAGTATAAGAATTACCAAGTAGATCATTAAGGTATGTCCTGACCTGAGCCCAGACTATTGCCGGAAAATCAGTCTATGGTGGACTGCTTCAGAAAAACACACCAGCAGAAGAGCTCACAAAGTGACACATGACACACATTAAGGAACTATCCAGAATAGTAAGGGGCAGACAGAATGAACTATAAAATAAGAACAATTAATATGATTTAAGAGAAATGAGTACAGAAACTATAAAAATGCTCAGATGATGAAAAAAGAATATTATACGGATTTGAAAAATAAATGTAACTCCTGAATATGAACACTTAAATTAAAAAGTAAAAATTCAAAGGTCAAGTTAAACAGCAGGTCAAACAGAACTATAGAGAGAACTAGCAAAATAGAAAACAGATCTGAGAACACTTGTCCAAGGCCATTGAGGCCATCGGGTGTGCTACTGGGATTTTCCTACAAGAGAATCTGTTGAGGAAAGAATAATTAACTGATAGCTTGGACCTATCACTTCATTTACTCTGATGTCAGACTATTCCTGCCAACATAAAACTCTTCTATTAGGTAACTTTTGGTTAGGAACTCCCCATCATCCTGACCAAAATCTTCCTATCAGCTCCTCTTTCCTCCCTCTTTACCTTGCACTTTTTTCAATAAATGTCTTGCATATCAAACAAATTATGACTTAACTTCTGCTTCTAGGAGGGGCCAATTTACACAAAAATAAAACTGACAAAACCAAGCACCATTAGCACTGAATGGTCATCAACATAGTGCATTTAATAGCTCTTTTATTGTCTGAGGGCAATGAATTTCTCAGAGAGTTCAGTGAGATTTATATTTTCTTAAGAACACATGCTAACATTTTAAGGGAAAGAAACACCTTAAATATTATGGAATACCTTATTGGAAACTGAGCCAAATGGAATGAAGAAAACTTCACTAATTTAGTAGAAATATGAAATAAGAAAAGGTCAAAAAAGAAAAGGTGAGATCAATAAAAAGCACAATTTATGATGACAGAAAAGTCTGAATATGGCAGGAATCAAAACAAAATTATCAGGTTGGGAATGTGACTCAGTAGCAGAGCACTTGCCTAATATGCACGAGGGTTCAGTCTCTACCACGGCAAAAATCAATCAATCAATAATCATTGAAACTGAGACTCTTAGATAACTTGTTAAAAATCAACCTATATGTGGTAACAAGAAAAATGCTTAATTTTCCCCCAAAGTAGAAAATTATATAGAAATCTATTCTAAGAAAAGATTTCCTAAAAGCAAGGTTAAATCTTTAGTATCATGGGGGAAAAAGAGCTTTAAACAAAGTTTTTTAAAGTATTATTGGAAAAAAGAAGAAGCATTTCATTATGATAAAAGGAATTCATTGTGAATTTAATGATAGCAAGCCTGTAAGCACCTAATAACATAGCTTGAAGCATATATAAAAAATGAGGAAAAATTTCCAAGAGAAATAAAAAATACATTATAATAATGAGAAAATTTTATGTGACTCTCCTAGGAATAGAGAAATCAAATAAATAAAAAATGGTGAGGATGTAGAAAATTGGAACAACACAGTAAGAGTAATGTAATATATAATATGTATTTTATATTCAAACACATTTATTTTTATGTATTTTATTTTATATTTTTTAAATATATAAAATATTTAGCATTATTACAGGACATACATCAAAACACAGCAAAGAACTGACATAACCCAGACCTCATTCTCTGAACAGAATGCAGAATAGATATTAGCACCAAAATGTCCAAGTCCCATACATTTGAAAATCTTAAAACACAAGCATTAAATATCTGTAGTTTAAAGGCGAAATAATAATAGAAAATTGAAAATAAAGAATTGAACAGCACTATTTTAAAATATTATGTGTCAG